CCTATCCTAATATACTTAAAAATAGTATTTAATAGAGTAGTAAATTATAAAATTGTCAAATTATTTAGGTTACAAGATATACTAAACTAGTACAAAATACTAAATCTAGTACAGGTAAATCCAAACTATTAATATTAAAATAAATTGAATAAAACTATACTATAGCAATTATTAGATTTTTGTATATAAAAATTATTTGAATATATAATTTTTTAGATTTTTAGACAAATATACTACTAGTAGTACAAAAGGTGAACTCATATCTATTAAGTATAGAAGAGCATGTCTTATAGACATGCCTTTAATTCAAGACATGCCCAAACCCTAATAAAGATGCTTTTAGCTTGCATATCAAATATATAAAAGAGTTTCTGTAAAGGCAGAAGGTTGACTTTTATAAAAACCGCTCTGTTGTTCACCTACTATAGATCTTTTCTACTCTCCAGTATCCAAACTTGACTTTCTTTTGTGGGAAATTTTGGTCCAAGTGATCATCAAAAAGAATTTTTTAAAGTTTAAGTTATTATTATTTTATTTTATATATATATATATATATTATAAAAATTTTATATAATTAGACCTCTTTATAATTATATACTTAAAATACAAAAATATATAAGTGTAATAGTTATAAAGATCAAATTATTATATTTAATAATAGCTTGTTTTTTAAGAAATATGCTTATAAAGAAAATATACTTATATAAAGAGTGACTATAAAGAGGTCTAACTATATTTGTTTTTAATAAAAAAATTAAAATTTGACTCTTGATAAGGCTAACAAAGACTTTTTTTTTATCTTTATGTTTTATAATTAGATTTTATATAGTTATTTTTCTTTTTTTTTTTTTATTATTTTGCTTTATATATATATATTTTTTTTTTTAATAAAGAAATACAATAGGCTAACATAGCCTTTTTGCCAAGATTAAGTGAAAAAAATTAAAGTTTGACTTCTGACAAGGCTAACAAAGTCTTCTATTTCTTCTAACAGATTACACTAGTAATTATTCATATAAAAAACCAAGTGATGCTAGACCTGCTATAAATAGTTTATAAAACTTGTTTTGTATTGCCTTTATCTTTTAATAAAGATACCAACAAGACTGTCAAAAAGGTAAAAAAAATAAAAAATGAACTATTTATTTTAACAAATTATAGTAATATAAAAAATTTTTCTTGAAGCTTTAAGTTTCTACTGTAGAATTATGCTGTCAATAGATTGATTTGAAAAAAATTAATACCTACAGCTCATATCTCGATGAACTTCGAAGCACTCATTTTTCTTATTAGATATTTGTCATCCCTCCCTCTCAAGTTTTTAAAAATGCTACCAACCTCATTACGTCATTATAAAAAATAAATAAATCTTAAGATTAGGCTATACAAAGTTAATTCTCGGATTTCATAATCCAGCTGTCCGAATGCAATTATTAAAAAAATTTTTTTTATAAAAGCCAAGAAATTAATTTTGTATGGCCGGCATATTGACGTTAGGCCATAAATTCATTTCTTGGCTTTCATAACCTGACAAGGTCAGTTTTTGTAAACTTTGAAAAAATTTCAATATTGCGAGAAAATGTAAATGGACTTAAATACTAATTCGTGTCAAAAAATGAATAAAGCATTGTTTGCAATTATGTAATACATTTTTATAATTTGGTACTTAATTTGGTTAAAACTCTATAACACGGGTATGACCGGTGACTCGTATGTAAAAATCCCAAAAGGGTTTAGGAGTCCGTACATACTCCGTAACTAATATTCTCAATATAAAACCCGTCCCAGTTGCTTTCGCGACCATTTATTGATTGCGCCTTACATTCGTTACCTACCAAACTACAAGTCTACCAAGATTATAACCATTTTCGCCGCAACTTTTCCTTGCGATCAGGCTTTCTATCTATCTGATATTTTAAAATGCCTGGTGATCAAATGAGCCTATTGACAGTTCAACAGTTCGACGATGTACTTACAGATTTGTTACTAGACAAGATCTTTCTTTGGTTCCGGACATTCAAATTAAATCCCAGCTACCGTGAAACAAACGTCTCACGCGAAATTCTTGTTGACATTGTAAAAAGAAACGTGATACAGCTGAACAAACTAAATGACGCCGTTCATGAGCTGCTGCAGTAAGTCCCTTTTTTTACAACTTACTTTCGACATGTTGAAGCGCCTTATTGAGAAATAAACTCCGCTTGAACGGGTGTTAAAGGCATAAAACTCAAAACAATTGC